TGAGTAAGTGCTTGAGTGGAGACCCAATGTCCATTTGCTGCCTTAATACTAAACCTATAAATAGCTCATACAACTCTTTTCACAATCCATACATACATCAATTGTGTAAAGCATATTTGTACATTCGTTGCACTCATCATTCTTAAAACATTTGTTCTCCACCTGAGCCCCGGGCACTGATGATATTCCTTACGTTGTATAGTCATTCTCACTCTTCTCTCGTTTATTCCTCTCCAGTCACATAAACTTAGCTTCCTCTAAGGTTCCAATTCATCTTTCCAGTTGTTCTTGTTGCTTTGATTTTGTATAGATCTTAAAAGCACAAAATGCTCCATGCAGACCATCTTTACTAGTTACAATATGTAATTTGTAATTTGAAATCATGATTTAGGAAGAAAATAATTTTAGAAGATTCATATATTTAAGATAGGGAAATTAATTGGAAATGGTTTTCTCTTGGTTCAAATAATGTATGCCATGTACAAAGGGGTCTAAAGATGAGCTGGGTTTTATTGTCTTGATGCATTAAGAATAGTTTAATTTTGCTAAGTGGTTTGTAACGCTTCCTGCTTTCTCTTGGGAGGCACTAGTGCTTCAGTCAAAGCCATTTAGCTTTTGTGTTTTTCAAAGCACTTACCATATATACTTGTGTATAAGCCAAGTTTTCCAGCACATTTTTATGCAGTTTTCATGGTAAAATTAGGTGCCTGAGCTGATATTCGAGTTGGCTTATACTCGAGCATATACAGTACTTATTATTAAGAAGTGCATAAAATAGTATAGAAATTCTAATCAAATTAAACAAGGGCTTACTTTGGATTCTTTCCAACCTCCTCTTTAAAAAGAAGAGAAAGCAAACAAGCTTTAAAATTTTCCTGTCATTGTAGGCAAGACCTGCCACTAAGATTCTACTCCAAAGCTAAGTCAACTGTATGCCATCCTCAGTGTGTAACTCTCCTGAATCAGTGCCCGCAGCACATGGAGAATAATACTGATTCTCTCTGTTCATTTCAACCTGAAGGTTTTCTGCACGATTTCCTTTTTTCTCTTCAGCTTTAAATTGTAAAATGAACTCCTATATACAGTTTATGTAATAGCTAACATACATCCAATACTGAGTGTTCAGCATTGTTCTAAATATGTTTTGTGTATCAGCTTATTTAATCCCCTTAGCACCTCAAGCAGTATGGCTCCATATACGCACACTACTTCTTTTACCACGCTGCTCTTTAAAGAGGCAGAAACAAGTGCGTACCTGAGTACGCTGGCCCTGCAGTTTAAGGAACAAACTGGTTCCCATTCTTTAGGAGTCCCTGTGTAAATAATATATTAGGATTTTTCTGCTTGTTTTTGAAGTATGTACGATGGAGTCACAGTATAAGTGTTCTTGTGCAACTGGTTTGCATATTTTCGCTTAATAAAAGTTTGTGGTGTTCATATGTAATTTGTGGCTGCGGTTCACTCATTTCCATTTTATTACTTTTAACCACTTTTTCTTTTTTCTGACTTGTTCTGAGGAGCATGTTCCTCACAGCAGTGCCGGTTTATTTTCTAGGCCTGTTGGTTAGCAGAAAGGTGATTTCCAGGAGTGGGTTCAGGTCCAGGTTTCAGGGCATCTAAAGGTCAGAGCCTCAGATTCTGCCTGTTTCTGTGAGGCCAGCAAGGCTGCTCTTTTTTTATGCTTTTTAATTTTTTAAATCATTTTATTGGGGGCTCGTACAACTCTTATCACAATCCATCCATCCATCCATTGTGTCAAGCACATTTGTACATATGTTGCTATCATCATTCTCAAAAC